CGCTCTCAAGGCTACACCAACGTGCTTTACCTGGAAACATCCCCTTATAACCAAGGTTTGGGAAGGGTCTTAAGGAAATATGGTGTGAGACCTGAATTGAAAAAAGGAAATACCCGACAACGCGAGGCTCACCTTTTCAGGTTACGCCCCTCGCCTTGGCTCTAATGTGCACTGTGAGTGGACGCACTAAGGTACATTGAGGAAAGCCTTCTGGGAGCTGAGGTCCCTTTAGCTATTTATTGGGCACAGCTTCGTATTAATGCATAATAATACTCTACCGCACGTAGCTATAGTTGCCACCCATGCTTGGAGGATGTAGGAATTTCGACAACACTCCACAGCACGTACTGACGTGAATCCTATGGTTCATGATAATGAGACAAACGTTGGACATCTTCAAACCGCTCTTGTTGAAGAATGGAATTCTGTTTCACAAGAATAAATCCGTTCGCTTTTTTATTCAGTTGTCTAGGCGAATTAATGCCCTTTACGAGGCCAGAGGTCGTCATAAGCGTTATTAAGAACAAAACTAGGTAATAATTTCTTAATTAAATTTTTATGTATCACTGAAAGGTCTTCCGGTGTTTGGTCTTGTTTCAAATCTGTCTTAATGGTTTTTTGCCATCAATATCAGTTGTACATATTCTTCACCGGTCGGTTTTATTAAAAAAATGTATATAAACCTGCATTTGTAAAATGTGCCATTAACGAAATTGACATCCCCACTGGTTCGGCCGGGTAGAAATAACAAAAATGTTGTCCGTTGTTTATGCTTGCGCGAAAAGAAAGAGGGACACTTGGGGTTGACACAAAAATATAGAGCAGGGCTATCGATTGCCCCTGGGCCCAGATGGCTCAAGCATCCTAAGAACCGAATTAAATCATTGGAGGCTTCCTAGTGGGGCATATTTTAATAATACAATTCCCAATCCGTTATACCTGGCCTATTATAACGGGGAGAGTGTTATATATATATTTTTGGATGGAGGGGTGGTGATGTTTTTTATATTTGCTTCGACAGTTCAAATTTAGTCGACAATAATTCGTCAAAGCATGTTAAAGAGATTGGAACAAAAGTAGAACCTCTTAAAATTGTGTACAATGATAAGATTTAAAAACAAGCAATATTTCTTTTGAATCTTTCTTGTTTCGACAATAACAACAAAATAAAATAAGTAGAGTTTGCACGATTAATGTAAGTACAAAAAATCTACAGGTAATACGGAATACTGCTTTTTATAAGAATCATAATATAAATTTTAAAGTTTTTGCAAATATCTGCAATTATAAGTTGTTATAGTTTTTACAAAAAATAAAAACGTTTGCCATGTGGGTGGACAGTAGTTTTCTCGCATTTTGTGTGTGCGCATGCGCATATGTTAATCCGTTTGGAATCAAATTCATATGCAGACCATTTAGAAACTAATTCGCAAATTTCTGAAAAAATCTTAAAAATTGGTATCATGGTTTCGGTGTTTTGCCAGTTACAAGGAATTTACCACAGACAGAACCAAATTTATTTAGAAAGGTCTGAAACGCCAAATGCGAGTGAAAATTTTAATTCTGCAGGATAAAAATATTTTCGACTTCCCGAAAAAAAAAGTAGGCAAACTTCAGTAGTTCGGAAGAAATATAGCAATTATAATGATAGAAAACAGGCAAGTTGTGTTATTTTTTACGGACGAAGAAAGACTTGGTAGGATGTGACGAGTGGAGTACAGACAAAAGTGTTCATCGCCTCCGTCTAGTCTAGGAAAGAAGAAAGGGATCTAGCATTTTGAACATATACCATAAAAAGGCTTCCCCCAACAAAATAAATACAATTCGGTCACCAAATTGAGCTCGTGACAGAAGAATTGCTCAAGACGTCAACGCATCGTGATGACTCTCCTCCGCTGGGTGCAACTAATGCAGTAGTTTCTGTACACCGAAAAACCGTAGCCACTTGGCAAAAGAATGATAACGATAGGCGCTATTCACTCCCTAATAACTAGTACATTTTTCAAAGTTTCAAATCTGCTCATTCTCAATTCATTTTATCTTAATATAAATTACACGAATTTTTTATCGCAACATGTGGAATAAATTCTTCAGCAGCAAGGTTGTTTTCGGGCAATGTTCCTGGCAATACGTGCATAGGCATGTTTCTGCTGCTCTGAATCTATACTTTGCCTCCGGATTTGAAATGTTCAGTTAGCAGTCCTTTTATCATTAGAAACGAATTAGTCATTGGACGAAAACGGCAAACTGTTTTTCGCAGTTACTGACGACGAAAAAATTTTCAGTAGAACCATCGTTTCCAAGGTCCTTCTATCAATCTAGTCCTAACACGCCCTAAGTTCAGTAGGACATTAAGTTCATAGTAGTTCGGCCGCTATTTTATGCGAGGGCCGAAGAAACATTTGCACGGCACTTAAACTTTTTTTAACACATCAGCCTATGCATCTTCGTTTTTGGTAATTGAGACTGACAAAAAAAGATTTTTAATACCTAGGTTAATTACGTAGTTTTATTAATAGCGAATATTTAACTTGTAGTCTGTATGTTTTGCGGGTTGAAATTGGCCAGTTGTCGAAATATTCAACTTCGGTTGGCGTGGAGTATCCTAGCATTGATCCAAGATTGTGCGCTCATATCCCATCTGTGTCCGGATCAGGCTGGATTCGAACCCCCGATCTTCGGTTAATACTCCAATGTTCTAACCTAAAAAGTTGAAAATTAGAAGTGTGGCATGCGCGATCGAAGTCACGGTAGTTCAAATGGTCATTACATCCTAGAATTGATTCCAAGATCGTGGGTTCGAGTCCCGTCCATGCCATAGGCGTATTCGAACCCTCGAATTTCAGATCAATACTCCGATATTCTAACCTAAAATGTTGAAAAAAGAAAGTGTGGCACGGGCGATCGAAGTCACGGTAGTTCAGAACATGCTAGAAATGATCCCAAGATTGTAGGTTCGAATCCCATCTGTGTGATAGATTTTTCATTTCGAAAAATCTGTGTCAAAGGAGTGATCAATACTCCGACGTTCTAACTAAAATGTTGAAAAAAAGGAAGGATGGCATGGGAGATCGAAGGCACGGTAGTTGAAGTGGTTAGATCATCCTAGCTTTGGCGACAAGATCGTGCGTTTGAATCCTGTCTGTGACACAGATTTTTCTTAATCGCGTGTAATTAATTGACTGTAACTTTAAATATAGTTTTCCTTTGATATGTCTTAGGACATTTTCCTTATTTCAATTTTTGAAAAGTAGACTTTCTTCGACAACTTGGTTATAAACGAAGAAAAGTCATGACTGAAGGTCATCCCAGTCGGAAGGAAGGGTATTTTTGCTATATTGAAATTAGCTAGGTCGTACAGGCACACGTGGAGAGTTAAACGGATGTAACAAGTATAGGTAAAAGTGGGTGTCGGAGGTAGTGGGGAAGTAGGCGGAGCTGGCATGTGTGAGCCCCTCCCATACAGCATACACAGGCGCCGAGGCTACACATGTATTCCGAGCGACTCGATTGGCCCCCATACAACCCCGGGGTGGGATTTCTTTCCTCAAAACGGATCGATGCCTCGGATCTTGCATAACGGGCCCCGAGTGAAAAATCAGCGATGATTCGCTGAAAAGATCGCCGTTGCCATGGGCAATACGTTTCAGAGTTTTACCGTTGCGTAATTAGGCTGGCTTTTCCGATATTTGAGCTTTTTCCCGTCTCGCCAAGTCGACGTGGGGCGCTTTTGAACTTTGACTTTTAACATAACATCGGAACAGTTGGATTAAAAGAAATATATCAGACTTTTTAGATAACCATTGGTGGTCCATTTCACACCTTTCAAGCTCTCATTCCGAATCAATCTTCAAATACACTGTTGGACAAATTTAAAGCACCATTCTGTTTATTTAGTTTAAAATCAAATCCATTATATTTCAACATTAGTTACAAGTATTGCTGTTTTTACTTTTGTGCTGATAATCCCATTTGCAAAAAAGTAGCTTTAAGCACTTACATTCTGCTACGCCTAAAGATCGCTTTCAGTTAATTTTTTTCCTTCATTTCATATTTTTCTTATTCCTAAACCTTTTTCAATGGCTCCAGTCAGGCATTTGTGTGAGTTTGGTAGGGACAACATCATTAGAGGAAGGATTCAACCAGCACGAGGTCGTTAGGAGCCTGGGTGTAAACGAAGGGTTCTTCGGCGCTTCAGAGAAACAGGGCGTCACACTAGAAGGCCAGGCAAGGGTCGATCTAGGTCTACAGACGAGAGGGACGATCGATTCAAACGTCATCAGGCTGTACCAAATCTAGCATTACAGGGAAATGAGGGGGTATTCACCCTATTCGTATCTACTAGGGGTATTCACGACGTTTATTAGATGTTAACTCGAATAGAGAAATGTTCGGTAAGATCGTGAACGCCCCCTTCTTTTCTTACCATGTTAAACGTTAATGTTATCACACTGGAGGCGACTGGTAGAACCAAAAATAAAGCGATAACAGTTCTTGAAGGCTTGTTTTGTGTTGAATTGTAAGAGAGGAGAAGTTAGAAAAAAAATTAATCAACTCTTCCATTCAAAATGCTAATGCACTCGAAAATACTAACAAATGACGCGCTTCAATTTATGCCGCCATATCTAAATTCTGTCGTAACTTCTAACAGCCTACAACTTTATAGGATAGGGGATGTATCTATTAGGAATGAGAGTATACAGGTCAGAAATGAACAAAGAAATTTATTGTCTGATTTAATTAAAAGAATAAAAATACATGTAAACAAAAAACAGCGGTTAAATTCATAGCTGCCAGTTGGTTATCTAAACCCTAACGGCAAGCAATGTGACTACTATTTTCGACTTAACATTTAACATTGGCCCTACCCTGTTAGATCGAGCAATGTTAACCAGCCGATGAGTCAAGTTTACGTCATCATTTTTCTCGATCTAACACGACCTAACAGAGTTAATAGGGTTAACACAAAGATCGTCAATACATTCAAAGAGCCTTGTGAGCTGATGTTAGGCAACTAAGTTGTCGCGTGGCCAACGTCGCTTCAGTCTCCGACGAGGATTGACAGGTACTGTTGTGGATGAAAAAGTGTTTAAGTGATCGGGTAATTTATAATGAAATTTTGGAACGGAATTTGGCTAGATCGGATACAAATAGGATTTTTAAGTCGATATGGTAAGCATAGAGACTAAGAAGGGAGCATTAACTATAATTCAAAGAATTTTAGATTGTAGATTTGTAGTCGATTAAGATTAGCATTCTTAGACGTTCCGAACAGTACAAGTCCGTATGTACAGGGGGCTAGCAGGACAGTGGAGTGTCTTTTTGTTTGTTAATGTAAGTTTGGATCGCTTGTAGTCTAGTCTTTGTAGCAGTCTAAATCTTGTACATAAATTTTTACGTTTGAGTCTTGTATGGGGATTCTACGTAAAACTTAACCCATTTGTCGAGGTACAGACTAAGTTATCGTACGTTGTTCGCAACGGGGATGGGAAGATTATTGAAATATTCCTTTTGTCAATAGTGAAAAAAATTTAGCTTCATTAACCGTGACTTTCCATTGGAGGAGCCAGGATTCGAGTTTGTGTATGAGATTTTGTAAATTACATGAAGTTGTGTTGTTGTATCATCGGCAAAGGTAAAAGTGAAAGTGTTAAGGTGAGTGGGTAGATCAGCCGTGTGAATTGTGTACGGAAGAGGAGCAAGAACGCTACCTGTGGAACACTAGCAAGAATTGGGTAGATTGTGAAGAAAGATATGTTTCGTACAGTTTGGAAGCGACGGTCTGTAAGGTATGATCTTAGTATCAGCAATAGAGTAGGTAGGATGCCATAGAGTCATCCATACCCCATCAAATGCCTGGGATATGTTCACGAGGACACCAGGGCAATACTATTTCAGCTGGAGGGCAGTGGTAATGGTGTCTAGAACGCGATGAGCTTGATAGATAGTCGAGTGCCAACTCCAAAAGCTAAATCGGTAATTAGGAGTAATATGGGATGCAATTTCGTTAAAAAGGTGGAACAACAGTAGTTTTTTGAGAATCTTCGTGTATATTGGTAAAAGACTGATTGGTCTGTAAGAACTAGGAAAGTGAGCGGGTTTGTTTGGTTTAGGACAACTCTTATTGAAGATAATTTCCATAGGGTAGGTAAGTGGGCATTGTGAAAGATAGGTTGAGTAGATGTTATAATTGATATTTTAGGGAGTGGGGGTTAATATTGTTGGAGTAATTAGATCGTAACCAGGAATTTTCGTTTTCTGGAGGGGAGTGGGGACCGATGGGCTGCTTGATCATTCTGGAAGGAAAAGGTTTGAGAGGAAGGGAAAGTAGTAGGGGTTCGTGAAGTTCGTTGAGAATGTTGGTGGAGTGGGTCATGTATGTCTGACAAATAACTGAATATGTTTGATAAATACTGTAATAAATATAGTTATGAATATATAAATTATAATATACTTATTATTTATTACCAATGTTTGTAAAAAGTAGGGAGTTTTGTGAAGTTATGGTCAAAATTGGTACTTTGAAATTGGCATTCTCAACACGACACGCAAGCATGGCACAGTGTTTGTGTTGCACAGAAAACAAACACTTTGAGCCCTGGAAATGATCTCAATAAAGATCGAAACGTTGGCACGATAAAGAAAATGTTTTTCTAGAACCTACGTCACACCAGACCGCATCTCACGATTTCTGAATAATTTTACTAATATTGTTTAAATGATTAGAAATAGTGATGTCGCTACCAGAGAAAACGGGTTGGCGTCAAAATTCAATTTGATAAACAAACAGCGACTCTGCCTTGAATTCAATTTAAAATTATCCCTGCGATGATAACACGAAAGACGGCAACCGGTCAAAAAATAAAAACCGTCGCAATTCCCCCTTTTCTTCCTTCCTTCAATATTTAAACGTCTTGGATGTCTTCGAAAAAGGTTTTTGTCCTTCCATGAATTTATTACCTTTTATGCTTTTAAAGAGAAACGCTCTGAATGGAATTGCTAATATGAGATCATTAAAACAATTCATGCTTCAGAACTTTCCCATTACCTCGGCGGATATCTTTTCTTTTCCAGATACCCTTTATAATTTGGTCCAGCGACGGAAAATAACATAAAAAATGCATGAAGTTGGTACCCTAAACGTCTGTCTTACAAAAGTAAATACGCCTAAAATTAGTAACAATTTCTCCCTAGATGAACTTTTTGATGGACCTTTCTGTAAGAAGAAAAAGGCAAATAATTATTTCACACACACTCTGCTAATAGTGTTAAAGCCGAGAATGCTTGCTACTCCATTGTTCTATTTAGGTAACTAGCATGGTCTGGGGTCTGTTAACCATTGAGCTTGTGTGCTATATCGTCATCACTTTTAATGCCAGCCTTTGTTTTATTTACGTATAGAAAATAAAGGAAGTGTTCACGAAGGAATTAATAAATTAATCAAACGATTCAGACTTACTGAAGATGTCGAAATGTCGTGACACGCCTGACGACCAACCCAGTGAAGACCAGAATGATCAGTGACAGCCAAATTGCAAGTTCATCACTGCGCTGAGCACAGATGTATCTTCCAATATTAAAGAAATGTTCACTAAGGAATTAGAAATAAAAATACAAAGCAGAATGCAAAAAGTGGACAAATCAAAATAAAATTCAATTAATCAAACGACTGAGACGTACTGAAGAAGGCCAAATGTCGAGACACGCCTGACAACCAACCCAATGAGTATCAACGTAATATGTAACAGCCAAAGTTCATCACTGCGCAGAGCACAGGTGTATCTTCCAGTATTAAAATAGTATAATTCACCTACCAGGTTTTAACATAGAACCCTGGAAACGGTCTGAACTGTCTAAGACATCGGATGCACCACGCAATCAATCTCCGGAGGTCGCCAACTTTCCGGAAAATAATTAAATCCCACTTTCCGGTTTCCTAACTCGGGTAAAACCGGCAGTTTCACTTTTGTTTCATGCCGATTCGTTTATTGCTAATCTAGTAAAGCTATTTGAGTTTTGAATAGAGTCGTTCTACCGCTCCACGACGTAAGAAATTCTAGAACTTGCCAGTTTCGCAAATGTTGCGTCAAACAAGAGGGAATGCACGGATTTTGCCCGAATACATGACTGACCCCGGGGCTGGAATAATTTCTGCATGAAAAAATAGCGTCACAGTATGAAAGGTCGGTCGTGCATCTTAACTCGAAACCGTTTGTTGGCGATGGAAGAGGAAAATAGGAAGATTTTGCAATAGTTTCGAACAAAAATTCAAAATCGAATGAAATGAAAATGTCTTTTATTCAATATTATAATGAGTAACAACTGTAAATATAAAATTAAATAAAAGTACACTAAGGCTATGGTCAACAACCGTCTGCCGGAAAAACTGGCAAAATGTTTTATTATTATTTTTAATGAACAAGCACATGAAACTATTATATACACTAAATAATAATAAACTGGGAAGTTTATGGGCCGACAAACGCTGCGGTCATCGCCGGCCCTGTGCGTGTTTTCCTTCTTTTTCTCTTCTATCGCGCATATTTTGTTTTAAACTACAGCCAAACTGCGTCTCGATCTGGTTAGTGTCTCTAATTTGAAAGATATTCTTCGTTGATATCCTAGAATGTTTCTCTCGTTTGTACCTCAGGTCGTCAAATACAGAAGAGAAACAAAACATACTATATATATATATATATATATATATATATATATACAGGGTGAATTGCTACTCGTGCTACAAACTTCTCCAGTAGATTCTTCACCCTAAAATGAACAAAAAAGTTCATATTGTCCATGGTCCGATTCTCAACCATTTCAGAGTAATTTCGCTTTTTATCGATTTTGAAAGATATCACGTCCTGGCGTCGGAAAATCGTGATATCTTTTAATCTANCAATAAATTAACACAAACACAACACTCGATAGAAACATAGAGGTCTGGTCACATTCACTCCCCCCAGAGTACTCGCTATTCCTCGGGGCGGGGTTGAACCCTCACCACTCTCGCTAATAACTTACTTTTACTCTCCAGACGTCATACACTCACCACAGAGTACTCGATATCCCTCGGGGCGGGTTATAAGCAACCCCTTCCTTTCATGCTAATAAATTACATTCATTACAATAAATTAACACAAACACAACACTCGATAGAAACATAGAAGTCTGGTCACATTCACTCCCTCTGAGAACTCGATATTCCTCGGGGCGGGGTTGTAAGCAACCCCTTCCTTTCACGCTAATAAATTACATTCATTACAATAAATTAACACAAACACAACACTCGATAGAAATATAGAAGTCTGGTCACATTCACTCCCTCTGAGAACTCGATATTCCTCGGAGCGGGGTTGTAAGCAACTCCTTCCTTTCACGCTAATAAATACATTCATTACAATAAATTAAAACAAACACAACACTCGATAGAAACATAGAAGTCTGGTCACATTCACTCCCTCTGAGAACTCGATATTCGTCGGGGCGGGGTTGAACCCTCTCCACTCACGCTAATAACTTACTTTTACTCTCTAGACGTCACACACCCCAGATATATATACATTAAATTCTAACAATTTGCGTAGTGCGCTCTACGACTTGTAGAGAAAATCTTCTTTACCACCAAAGCTCGAATAAATGAATTTATAATTCATGCTGAAACAGTAGAGAGCTACATTGGTAACATCAGATACCTTACAGAATATAAAACTGATTACCACACCTTCCAACTGCCAGAAGACGAAGCATAGTAGTCATTCCCAATTTCCACCTGAGTGTAATATACAATGACATCAAATATGAGCTAACTGAAAATCAAAAAACTAAATTTGTGGTTTTTGATTGTCCTACCACGGATTGATAAAACCTGAAGTGCCATAAACGCAATTCTTCACATGTAATTTGTGATATGGGTATCGATCGATTTGCAGATCTTTCTTCGGTGAATACTCATTAGCTGTAGAAGACTAGCCTCTTTAGTGGTGAAAAGTAAGGTAGATGTTTTCTTAATTAAAATTATTTAAATATAAAATGTAATGAAATTATACTTATATAATACTTATGTAATGAGTAGTAATATTAAAAATTTTAACGTTTTATAATATTTAATCCAACACTTTTTTTGCTGGACGATCTCTACCTCGTCATAATCCGGCTTCAAAAACGAAAACAAGTGTGACGAAAATTTTCTTTTACTTCCAACGTTTCAAATGAGAGACCAACCATCGATATCGACCACTTCCGATTCACACAAAAAATTGACTAACTGTTCATAGTGATTAGGGTGGATGTGGTTGGATAATTTCACACCGGCCGTGATTCTCGGAAATGTGACAATGACTTGGGTGCTGAGATGTGATGAGCGCTGTTTCATCCCATGCTCATCACGCAACCAATTTAACGTATGATTATCCAAGTATCATTTGTCACTGCACGTGATCAAGCGACCCAAAAAAAAATCTTCATTTTCACATGAGAAGATGTGAATATGTCCTCATCAATCAGAATTCAGAAAACATTCGTTTTTTAATTTTTGTTAACAAATTTACGGTCGAAGATGGGAGTCAATTGAAAGATTGTAAATGGCTGGGTACTCCTTGATAAATCAGGTTGTAGGGAAGTTTGCCTTTTGATAACCACGAAGGATCCAGGGAAATTGGTGCACCGATGAGTTTGCCTTGATGGTGAAACTATGCCATGCGGGAAATATCGGATAGCGCACAATTCCATAACATTCCGAAACCAGGAATCTTGTAGACATTAATTATGAGGCTATTTCAGGTGGTCTGCTCTCGGTTGATAATTGATTGTTCTCTCACTCCCTCTCTCTCTCTCTCGCTCCTGGCCTTTCTCCGCCTCTACATCGACAACAATTGCCTACCTGGAGTTATGTGGGGGATGGGAGATTATATTAATAGTTGGCCGCACCAACTCCGCCGAGCCTGTTAGAGCTCACCTATTTCTAGTCGCAACTAATATACCCGATACAGACCCGGGAGATTGCCCCCGAGTTGGAATTGTTTCAATGGCCGTCTCATGAATATTTTACATTCGTATTATATTGTCCTTTCAAGGATTCGGCTTTACAAATTATGTCGGGGCGTGCGGCCGAAACATAGAGGAGTCAGTGGGATCTTAAACGGTGACAACATCAAGATTTAATTTTAACACAAAACATGTGATCAAGAAAGCGTTTTTCAACAGTGGTAACTAAGACTAAAAGCATCAGTTGCGAGAGATCCGTGGGGTTCCGTTCTTTCTAGGCCTGGGCTGCCACTGCGCCGGGGTCTGCGGGGGCCTCGCTCTGAGGGGGCCGGGCTGCGCCGTTAACTTGCACAGACTCAAGGCTTAATGACCAATAAGGTTTCAGCCTTTAAATTCTTTAAAAAAAAAACCAGTGGTAACGTTATGATCGATTGTTAAACTGGTGCAACCTATACTTCGCTTCCTCAGGACAGTTACATTTATTTGGCAATTAACACTATAGTGCTACATCCAGGGTCTACTTGTTGACGAAAATGTACCAATCAAAATTGAAAAAAAAAATTGTACAATATAGTTATATTAATAGTTAATCTGTACAAAAATGAAGAACTCTCTCTCTCTCTCTCTCTCTCTCTCTCTCTCTCTCTCTCTCTCTCTCTCTCTCTCTCTCTCTCTCTCTCTCNCTCTCTCTCTCTCTCTCTCTTGATTTATCTTTTTCTCAAGGGTACTTAAACGTCTTCTAATTTTTAATTCGAGTTTATAATCCAATTTGTTCGTAATAATTACGCACGCCTAGCTCCCAAACGACGAAACTACGTCTGTGCTAATTCGGTTCTGACAGTTTTTATTACAATAAATGTTTAATTTTTTTATATTTATCCATTTTTTAATATTTTTGAAATCATATAATTATACTTATTTTATCGATACCTATATTTTTTAAATTTACATTAAATTCACTAATTTCGTGGTCCGCTTGACCAATTAATCAAATCCCGCTCGTGCCATTGACTTTTTATCTCAACTAAAAACGTTAAGTTTGTAATTTACATTAAATTTGAACATATTTAAATGAACATTTAGAAAATCTCTGAAATTCGTAATTAGCTCTTTTCACTTAACGGACCTCTCAACTATCGTGCTTGTACTGTATTAAAATTTGTTCATAATAATTTTTTTTAAACAACAGTTTTTAATATATTAAAATTCAAAATTAATTTGCAGAGCATGAGATCAAACCATACCCGGTCGTGTCATATAAATATATTTTTAGTAATTATTTGTATTCTGTTTTCCATTTATTGGGATGTACCCCTAAATAACTAATTCAATTAAGTTCAAATATCATTGAAGATTTAAGGATAACACAAGAATCAACAGCAAAATAGATGCAGGTTGAAGTTCATTATATTTTATTAATTGGTATATTTATAATCTAATCTCTTATATATTTCATGTAATTTATAACAGTTGTGTTATAACATTTGTGAAAGAGAAAAACAAAAATTACATTTCGATTGAAATGGAATCTCTCTGGACGTGATTCTGCTCGATTGCAAAAGTTTGTCCGGTGATTTGA